CCCCTGTTCCCACTCTCCGTACCCCCCTGTATTCTGTGAACACCGGCACCTCTCAAGTACCGCATCAGTTCAGACTGATGTCGATGGAACAGGACACMGGGGCACWGCCAYGRCGMAGTGCCAGGATCGCAGTTCGTGCCCGCCCTGCGGTACCTCCAAGACCCAAGAGATTCAGCAGACGGACAACTCCAGCGGCATCAAGTACGGCATTGACAGTACAAGACACCACCGCAGATCTTCCCGCATGCCCGGTCCGAGAGGCCAGCGAGCCTTTGGCTGACTATCCTGGGCGGCTACAGGCATTTACATACGCCATAGCCGCCGTCGAGGCTCAGGAGGCTGCGGCAGAGGCAGAACGTCAGCGGCTGGCAAATGAGGCGGCAGCCAAAGCTCAGCGGACAGCTGAGACTGACGAAGTGGCACGAAACAGACGGAATGCCGCCAGCACGGAGTCCCTGATTGCTAGTGAGCATCAGTGGACAACAATACTTCAAGGCATGATCTTTGTGCCTACAGAAACGCAGGCGGAGCCGACACAGGCGGAGGCAGAAAGAAGTAACCTGGCTACCGTGATGTTGAACGTAATGAGGGGAGTAATGTGGAACAACAAACTACTGCAGGCACACCTGCACGTGGAATGACAACAAAAACAGCAGTACTTGCAAGACCTGGCCGCTGTAACAGCTGGTGTCCGCGACGCAGCAATGCAGCAGCAGCAACAGCAACAGCAACCGCTGATGAACTCTACCATCGCACGCATCAACGGCATTGAGGCCAAGGCCTCAGCAGCGCCAGGCTGCACGACGGACGCGACGAAGCAAATCAATGAACGCATCGATCACGTCTTCATCATCATCGGCGACAAAGGTGTTTTCAACGGACCGGATACGATCAGCAGCACGGTGGCCGCCATCAAGACGGACATCACCAAGCTACAGACGAGACCGGACGCCGCTACAAAGATGTTCAAGATGCCGCACTTCGACATCTGCAAGTTCGACGACTACAATAAGTCCGACGCCTTAACATGGTGGCAACGTTTCCTCACGGAAGCGTCATGCCGCACTGTCCCGGCGAACGACATGTTGAAGGCACTCTATTTGCAACTGATTGGAGGAGCRCAGGCATGGATGAACCACCYGGCGGCCACCCAYAAGTGCACCATCGCCGAACTCCACACGCACATCACGTGGAAGGAGTTYGAGCAGCTATGGTTCACCCGGTTCATGGTCMACAACGTCGTGAAGGCGGCCATGAATGAGGTGTACACATGCTCTCAGGGGAACATGCCAACTCGAGACTGGACAACGAAGTGGCAAAAGATAGTGACCACACCAGGCTTCGACTTGACGTTTCCAAATCAACGATCCGAGTTCTTCTTGCGATCATGCGCGGGATTGCGGTCGGCACTCGGTAATGAGTACGACTATACCACATTCCAGGCCATTCTGGATCGAGCGAACTTGGTCATCCAAACGGACGACAAGGCCGCTAACGAGAGACAATCCCAGCCGCATTATGTGGCTAAGCAGGCCTATCAACGTCCGACACATAACAATGTCGTGATTTCTGAGGAAATCGACGACCACCACGCTGCAGCAGCATCCTCGGGTGATGTAGGAATTGTCGCAGCGCTCCCGCTGAAGCGTCCCAAGAGAGTTCGTAAGAACAAGGCGACACAAGAGACGGCAGCGACAGGAGCTGGGCATCCATGGACGGCATATAAGATCACCAAGGAAGTCTATGACCTACGTCAGAAGTACGGATACTGCCTTTGGTGCAACGGAGTCACCCATGTGACCGCATAATGCCCCGAAAAGGGCAAGGCACGCGTACCCCGTCCAGCAAACTCGAAAAAATGAGTTACGCAAGGAGAGGGGCGACGTCTCTCCTCACTCCGTCGGGCCCGGTTGCCTTGCTAGCAATCGATGTCACTACCGGGGAGCATGCGTTAGTCGCTGATTCTCGTGCTACGTACGAGGATTATGTCGCCCAACTGGTACCACCATTAGACCAKCCTAGCCACGTGCATGTAGATTGCGTATGCGCAGCCTGTACACCGTCGACAAGTGATCCGGTCTGTTCGCCACTGTTTTCCGAGGACTCGACGGCGTGCTCAAGACTTGAGGAGCTTGACCCGCTCACGAGAGAGGATTTCGCTTGGATACCTCTACCCTCGACCAGAACATTGCCAAGGCCGCATTGCATTGCCTTGATGCCAAATCTACGCTTCTACTTGCACACTGCAGTACCAGCTCCGTTGACGGACGACGGGGTAGTGGTTGCCGATCTCTGCTCCTATCTTGCGAAGATCGACCGTGAGCACGCCACCCAAAGGTACGCTGAAACCGACCCACCTTTGCTCTATATCCGCATTCAAATCGGAAAGGCAACCTGTGGTGCCTTGATTGATTGCGGAGCKTCTCGCAACTTCATGAGTCAAGCCTTTATGGCCCGCGCATGTCTTGGCCCGCGCGTTCGAAGRAAGACGCAACCTACGCAAGTTACACTCACGGACGGCCGCACGCAAAAGTCAATTGACCGATGCGTTGACGGCGTTCCGGTCTACTTTGCGCCACTTGCGTGCGAGCCGGTGTCTTTTGACATCCTCGACACCAAGTTCGACATGATTCTAGGCATGTCTTGGTTGCGTAGCGTCGATCATCCGGTGAACTTCCATGACCGAACCGTTCACATCCGTGATCGGAATGGAGTGTTAGTCCCTTGTACGGTCGCGACCCCTCACACTTTGATTGCTTGTCACGTGGTTTCTGTTGCGCGGATTTGCGACGCCATTGCTCGAAATGACGTCGAGGAGATGGGCCTTGTATTCTTGCATGCTCTCCCCTCGCCGGACGGACCAGCCGAGTCACCGCCAGACCCACGCATTTCTCACCTCTTGGACGAGTATAGAGACGTTTTCGAGGCTCCCACCGGAACGGTTCCGGATCGGCCCATACGTCACGGGATCACTCTCGAGGCTGGCGCCGTCCCTCCGCGTGGATGTATCTACCGCATGAGCGAAGAGGAACTCGAAGTGCTTCGCGCACAACTCGATGACCTTCTCGACAAGGGCTGGATTCGCCCTAGTTGCTCGCCATACGGTGCACCTGTTCTCTTCGTCCGGAAGAAGAACAAAGATCTACGGTTATGCATCGACTATCGAAAACTTAACGCACAAACCGTAAAGAACGTCGGCCCTCTCCCTCGGATTGATGATCTCCTTGAGCGGTTAGGCGGCGCGACGTACTTCTCGAAGTTGGATTTTGAGTAAGGTTACCACCAGATTGAACTCCAGCCTCGAGACCGGTACAAAACTGCGTTCAAGACGCGGTATGGGCATTTTGAGTGGGTTGTCATGCCATTTGGACTCACCAATGCCCCCGCAACGTTTCAAGCAGCGATGACGACTGAGTTCCGCGACTTGCTCGATCGCAGCGTCCTCATCTACCTTCACGACATCTTGGTTTATAGTAGGACGTTGGACGAGCACATCGTACACCTTCGCGTTGTTTTGAATCGTTTGCGACTAGCCAAGTACAAAGCGAATCTCGACAAGTGCGAATTCGCCAGGCAAGAGTTTGAGTACTTGGGCCATTTTGTCACGCCRAAAGGCATTCGTCCCTTASCGGACAAGATCCAAGCCATCGTGGATTGGCCGGAACCCCGTTGCACGACGGATGTACGCTCTTTCATGGGTTTGGCTGGATATTATCAGCGATTCGTCGAGTCATACTCGAAAGTGGCTGCTCCTTTGTCAAGACTTCAGTCCTCGAAGGTGCCCTTCGAGTTCGACGACGCAGCCTGTGGCACGTTCAGTACGTTGAAGGCAGCGATGCAAGCCGCACCTGCCCTCCGTATGTACGACCCCACCCTACCCACCCAAGTGACTACGGACGCTTCCGGATACGGTATTGGTGCCGTGTTGGAACAGTGTCACGAGGACGGTTGGCATCCGGTTGAGTATTTCTCCCAAAAGGTGCCTCTCATCAACACTCTCGACGACGCTAGGAAGAAAGAGCTACTCGCGTTCGTCACCGTTCTCAAACGGTGGCGCCACTTTCTTCTCGGCCGCCGGCATTTCAAATCGAATACGGACAACAATCCGTTGACCTTTTATAAAATGCAAGACACGGTCACTAGCACGATCGGTCGAGGGATGTATTACATCGACCAGTTCGATTTTGACCCGTGCCACATTCCCGGTCCCACCAATCGAGCTGCGGACGCCCTCTCACGACGGCCCGACTTTTGTGCCATTGTGACCACGACATTCGACCTCGATGACGATCAACAGCAGCATTTCGTCAAAGGCTACAAGTCCGATCCGACTTACTCTCAGCTTTACGCGGAGTTTTTATCGGATCACCCGCCGGCTAGCCACTATCGGATTTCCGACGGGTTCCTTCTCCTTCACACGAGAGGAAATGACTTGTTAGTTGTGCCCCAAGATCGCATCTTACTGACTCGTCTTCTCGGCGAATTCCACGACGCACGATTTTCGGAACACCTTGGCATGAACCGCACACTAGCACGCCTCCGCCAGCGTTTTCACTGGCCCGACGTCCTTCATGACGTCACGAGGTACATTGAGTCATGTGCAGTTTGCCACCGAAACAAGGGTCGATCTCGAGTCCCCTTCGGTGAACTGAAACCGTTGCCGATTCCCCGGGCACCACGCCTCTTCATTGCTATGGACGTGACAGGCCCGTTTCCCCGCGATCGCCACGGCCATGACGGTATTCTCACGGTCGTTGACCGTTTGAGCAAGTATGCTCGCTTCCTTCCTTGCAAGTATCATGCTGCAGCGCCTGAGCTCGCACGACTCTTGCACTTCGGTTGGACTACCAACCAAGGTGTTCCGAAAGACATAGTGAGCGACCGAGATACTCATTTCATGTCAGCCTTTTGGACTTCCCTCATGGCTGAGTCCGGTACGACAATGAAACCGAGCTCGGCTCGACACCCGGAGACGGATGGTCAGAAGCAGCGAGCGCACCAGACCGCTCAGATGATGCTGCGTACGCTCATCCGTCCCGACCAGAAAGATTGGGTTGACCGGCTTGCCGACATCGAGTTCGCCTACAACACTTCGGTGCACCCGGCGATCTGCGTCACAGCATTCGAGCTACATCATGGTGGAGAGAAAGCACGGATCTTCGCTGATCTCCTTTTGCCACAGGCTGCCGACATAGACGTCCCTTACTCTCCCGCTTCCATCCAGAAGTACCGGAACTTGCTGATCAAAGCCCGCGCAAATATGCAAAAGGCTCAGATCCGCATGCAGCAGCAAGCTAACCGACGTCGACTTCCATGTCCTTTCCGCGAGGGAGACCTTGTTTGGGTCCTCTCCGAGGAATTTGCGGTCGAGCAGGACTTCTCTTGCAAACTCCTTCCGAAATGGTTCGGACCATGAAAAGTCATTTCTGCCGTTGGAGACAATCCCGCAGGCCCTTCCTTCATGATCAACATTCCACCGCACCTGACAGTGCATCGGGTCTTTCACGCATCGAAGCTGGCCACCTTACCTTCAAATGACGAGTTTCCCAGACGTCGATCACAGGATCCGCCCTCCATGGACGGACATCAAGAAGTGGACCGAGTCCTCGCGCACCGCAAGTATGGCAACAAGCCAAGCCAGTACAAAGTCACATTCAAGCAATGTGCGCCGGATGACACTCGGTGGATCTCCAGTACAGATTTGCAGACTTCTGCACCCCTCATCTTCGCCGACTATGAGAAGCGACGGCTTGCTAAGGACGCAGCTCGTCCCGCCCGACCCACCCCGGTATCGGACAGACAACTTCGCCCTCGCAGGTAGCTCGGTCTTTTAAGAGGGGGAGTGTGTTACATCTTCGACGCCACATTTGTCCTACCGGACCCGACTTAGGGCTAGAGGGACACACCAGGGCCTAAAGGCCCGACCTTGGGGTACTACAGGCCATAAAGGCCTCACCTTGGACCAGACCCGACGGGCAGGCCCAAACGACATTACCGTTTGGGCTTGGCGGCGCTCTTGAGGCTGCCGCCCGCCGGTTGGGGCTGAACCGTCCATCTAGACGGTTCAGGGCACAGCCAGGCCTCGCAGCAGTGAGGCCGGCCTCTGCCCACCGATATAAAGAACCAGTCCGGCCTCACTTCGAGGCATCCACCTACCGGCATTCCACCGGTACGGTATGGTACAGCGCGAGACAGCGGTGGCGCTAAGTTTAGCGCAGGAGCAGCGAGGAGCGGCAGTGCAGCAGCGAGCGAGCAGCAGCAGCAGCGACTGGGTGTGCCGGCGGCCATAGCCGCCTGAGGTATCGGGGTTGGAGGCCTCTCTCCTCCCTCCCCTCGCC